GTGCACAAATTGGCCAGTGTTCTGTGATGATAAAATACTCAGCCTGCTTACCAGGATGTAGGGTTTTGGCTGGGTTGAGCGAAACGGAGACACCACCCACCCCTTCTAGGTTTGGGGGTAGGGAGGCATTCTTGGAAGCAGCTGGAGTTCCTCTGAGTGGCTCATTGTACCATTTCCCGCCTTAGCACCTATCCAGGGGATTGGGCTATCCTGGTGCCTGCACTAAGGAAGGAGACACAGGTAAGGGGTTGTGCATGGGGAGGCAGGATTGAATCCCTCTACCCCCTCCCCCCCGACATTGCTGTTGGTTACATGACATAAGTCTATCTTTTGGGATCTCAGTGGGCAAGATGTGGGGAGAGGATAAGGGTATGGACAGCCAGTATTTGGTACACTTACTCAGCCTCACCCTTAAGTTAGGTATGCTGGATTTCACAGTGCGTTAACTTCTTGGCCAGTCACCCTGTTGGGACATGGAAGGGTTTTTTCTGGGTAGGCAGAATTGGCAAACAGATGTATGGGTCTTTTTGGCAACCAGGAAGTCTAGTCCCTGGGTTGATAGAGCAAAATTGCTGAAACTTGTGAAGGTTTATCTGTGTGGACTTCAGTTTAGCAAAGGTTGAACTGAGAGAATTGGAGGGCTCCTTAGGCAATGGTCCTGTGCATTGGCATAGCATGGTGAAGGGCGAACTTCAATATTTGCTGCAGCTTGAGGCTCTCCTCATCTCAGTTCTTCTACATGGAGTTGGGGAGACAAGGAGTCTGGCATCTAGGCCCTGTTTCTCAGTAGGTTGCGTGGTGTGGAGAGTAGTTTAGATTCCATTCCACTTTAAAAATATATAAACAAAATTATCTCTGGGGCCATTGTGGCTGGCTGAATATCCACATGGCACTGGAATGGCACTGCTAGTAGCTGTGCTGTGTGGTTTACCCAGATCAGCTGATGGTTTAAGTTCAAATGGTTTAAGTTGGAGAATCCACAAACAACTTGAGAACTTGTCCTTGGGCCACATCAACTTTCTTTTAATTCTGCCATCTGAATTAGGAAGATCTAACCCCTACCTGCTCAGGTGCCTAGGCAGACAATGAAACCTGCCTTTGGCAAACAGGTATCAGATAACAGTGGTACCAGGAAGTTTTCTCAAGGTATTAAGATATTTAGCTGTAAAGAAGTTGATCAACCAAGTTATATCTGGCGTTGGAACCACAGGGACAGATGAAGGAAATACGTTTTCTATCTTAAATCTCTTTAATCTACCTGCTGAAAGCAGATAAGGAAAAGTTGTTGTTTTTTCCTATTTTGCATAGAGTACAGTTACTTTCAATATGTGACATGCAGCACTATACCACACACCCTTAGTGTTCTGCAGATCAAAAGAAAGGCCACAGCAAAAATATACGTAATGCAGAAATCCAAATGATAACGAAATAGGTTTCCCATTCTCTTCCATATTCACTCCTAGTTTACAACAAAACAATAAGGGGACAAATCAATGTAGGCCAGTGAGGGCAGAACCTGTCCTATGTGATAAGGGACATTTGAGGATGCCTGAATGTAATGAATAGAAAAGGAAGCTGAGCTGACTGAATATTTAAAGCAGATGTACTGAGTAATAGGAGTGAGTGGGTTGTAGCTGAGTGGCAACTCATCGTATGATCATCACATTTTCCACTTAAAGCATCTCAGAAAAACAGGACAGACCATTTAATTTTTTTTGTCTGCAGATAACTAGCAGATTGAGTAATTATTTTTTAAGAAAAACCCCTTCGATTATATATTTTTCTGTTTCAGAGAAAGGTTATTTTGAAAGTATTGAGCTGTATGTTGCAAAATATTCATTTTTCCCCAGCTATTAAGTCATACAAAAAATTTCCTCTGGTCATGTTTCCTTTCCTTAACGTCCTCTCTTCTACAGAGGTCAGTTTGCTCTGCTGGCATTTCACGATACACAGCCGATCAGCCAGCTAAGCGCAGGCTTCAGCATGTTTCAGAATCTCTGTTTGAGACTATCCATCCCTTTTCCCACTCACCCTGCCACCCCCGAGAAGCTACCTGTAAGACACATAGATGGACTGGTTAAGTGCAGTGCAGTTAGTTGAAGTCAAGTTACGGTACATGGCTCAGTTATAGCATTCTGAGGAGGCAGCTTGTAAACCTCTTTTGTGTCTGAAATACTCACTTATAAGGAGTTGGTCAAGTGGGAACAAAGGTTCTGTGATCATTTAAAACAACAGAAGGTTCCCAGAGAAATCTCCCGTACGGCCAAATGGATTTTGTTACATTTTCAGGAGAATGGCAACGTGCTTCATTTAGCAAAGTGAGATTTCAAAGCAAATGCGTCTCTGGGGGAAAATCTAAAATCAATAAGAGACCTGGATTTATGCTGTGAATTTTCAGAGATGGCTCCATGATGTTGTTCCATCTCCATATCCTGTGCTAATCCTGAAAGATCCCATCATGCTCGTGATCAAGAGCTTTGTCGTATGGTAAGGTACTCCTTGTTAATCGGGGTGTGCTGATTTGGTTGGGGTTTTTGTATTTAGGGTATTTTAGCTTCATGCAATGTGATTAATTGTTTTAAACTGATATTTTATTATTTTTGAAGATGGAACTGTATGTGGCAAGTTGATCAAGTATTGGAATGAAGCCTGGCAATGAAACCGTAGCTAGACTTTTGCTGTCAAATCAAGTCAAACTATAGTCTGCAAAGTCAGAGCAAGGTCAAAGAATAATTTCCATTGTTTTTGTTTAATATTCTTTTAAAATAGTGTCACCTGAGTTCAAACAGCATCAATACATTAATTTTCTTTCCTCTGCTAATATGTGCAGTTCTTTAGCAAAAAATATTGCTTAAGTCCTTCCTTAAAGTAAGTGTTTGTGTGTGTGTGTGTGTGTGTGTGTGTGTGTGTGTGTGTGCGCGCGCGCAGGTGCATATCCAAACACCCTCTATTGTTCTGATATCTTAAAGGCCTCCAGGGAATGTGTCTCTTTATGTTGCAGTTTTTTGTCAGTATCATAAGTTTTTGAAATTGTATAACAATTCAAAACAAGGCTTTTTAAAAATTTAATAAAACATTGCAGATGAAAAAAGTTAAGTGTCTGGAGTTGTATGAACATGCTGTAATTTGGTGGTTGTTATTGCACAAAAAATTCATTTTTCCTCTGCCAGATAAAGCTAAATGACTGTAGGTGAGCTGGAATTAATATAAGATATAAGACAATATGTGCAGATGATCTAATATCTTAGACAGTTAAGCTTGAGAAACTTTGATTAATCAAAGTAGTTGAAGATTCAAATCTGTCTGATATGGAAATACTGTGGAAATGTCAGAAGAGGAAAAATCAGAGTCCTGTATTTTGAATCATATGCAAGATATATTAATTGTATTGTGCACTTGCTAGCGTAAATGTGGATTAACCTCAATTTTATGTTTAAAATGTTCTGATATCTTTTAGAACACCTGAAAAGTAAACGGTATCCTCTTTTGGGGGGGGGGGGGCGGAAGTGGAATGAACAAAACTGATGATTTTAGCCTTCTTATCAACAGCAATAGCTCAAACTATTGTTGGTTGGTTTCTCCTGAAGTTGTTTCTTTTTACTTCTTTACTATCAGAAATTGAAGTATTGAAAGGATTACATGGGTGAAATCCTGGCCTCATTGAAGGGTTAGGGTTTCAGTCTATATATTCTAAGAGCCTGATCCCATAAAGACTTAAGCATGCGGGTAACTTTTACTCATGTGAACAGTCCCATTGAAGTCAGTGAGGCTACTCATATATGCTTAATTCTTTGTAGGATCAAGCCCTATATGAATAAGGATCTGAGGTTTTGAAAAGCGACCTTTTCTCATATTAACTACTAAGTCAATTAAAAATTATTTTGAAACATTCATTAAATCATCTGTTGATTCTCCATTGTCTACAAAAATTGTATTTTAATATAATTTACCTGTAATGGTGATGACTTGAGAGAAGAGAATATAAAGAGCTGCACTTAGAATGAAATGTTTTCCCTTCAACCTTATAGTATAACACATTTTTGATACTTGGATAAACAGTTAATTGTCACACTAGCAAAAGCCAGTACTCCAATGTTCAGTTACACGTTAGTTTTCAAAATATCCATTAAAAGGTTGGTATCTGAGTTTACAGATAATGTTTAATTGATGTTAGGATGTTTTAATCTATACTTTTCCAATTGTAACAGGAGATTTTTTTTAAAGTTGTGTAGGGACATCTTGTAATTAACTTTACAGAGGAAAAGAGAATTACCATGTCGTGATTCTTCTTGTATGAAAATTCTGCATTTTTTCCCCTGGAATTTATTCATTTAATGAAAGTTAGTGCTGCAAAATGAGCTTTTAATGAGCTAATAGTCAAAGTCAGACAGCTCAGTCAAAAAACTAATAAAATACCATTTTCTTTTCAATAAATGGGAAGTAGTGAAAATATTCTCTCTAAAGTTAAACAGAGATGTGGTTAGTTATACTAGGTTTTTATCTCTGTGAAAATACAATTTAAGGCTTTCTCCCAAGACATTTTCTTGCTATATGAGCCCTGCTGCTTTGTATGGTGGTTCAACACAGGTGTATAGATTTGTCATGTAGCCCAAGGTCTATTTTGGGGGATTGATTCAGATCTCTGCTTTTTCCACCTTGTAAAAAACCATGCACACAATTTAAATTTGGATCTCTCCGTGCCAAGAAAATCAAGAACCTTGTATTATTTACTAATTTATGTTATTAAAAAAAAATTCCTGAAAAATATATAAAAATGCAAGTTATTTGACTTCAATAATTTTGTTTGTGCATTTGCAAATATTTTTAACTGGAAGCTGTTTCTACCAATACAGCACAGCAGAGCTACAGTAGCCTGGTTAGTAATGAAGTTGCAGATAATTTTATAGCAATGTCTCTCTTCCCTTATATGTGCCCTTTAATTGATTGAAGGAAAGGCAACTGTTCCAATACTTTCTTGTTGTTATCTAGTTTACAGGGTAGACAGGACTGGAACTATTTCTGCAGCTTCTGGGAGCCTGATGCTAAGCAATGTGACAACATAAATCTGAAAACATTATTACTGTTGGAAACAACTGGAAAAGTGAGTATCTATGGCTACTCTGTTCCCCCCATCCCATACTCCGTTTCTGGAACGCATTAATGAATATGGTGTGTGTGTGTGTGGTGGGGGGAGAGGAGATCTGAAGAGATTTTTCCACCTGTATGTTTTAGAGTTCAAGACAGGAAAGGTTTTTCAGTGACTCTGAAGAAGCTGCAGAGGTAGGTGTCTTGGGTTCTGTGCTTAACTCTGCTACTGGGTTGCTGTATTACCTCAGGCGAGTCAATTTAACTTCTGTGCCTCAATTTACCCATATTGAAAATGGACTTAGTAATACCTATTGGGCGGGGGGGGGGGTCAATTAACTGTAAAGCACTTTGCAGTCCTCTGGTGAAAGGTAATATAGGACAATATTCTCCCCATGCCAACCCTGAGTCAGCAGGTGTAGTGCAAGGGGGGGTGCCACTGGAGAGAAGGATTCCTTCCCCAAGTCCCAGAGTGGGCACCACAACAACCCTTATGCCACAGTTGCTCCTGAACTCTGCTCATTAGCGATTCACTGGCTGCACGTTTGTTCCACTCCTCCCCCATCTTGGTCCTGCCTCCCCAAGCCCTACTCTGTTAAGTGCATGGAGCCCCCAGGCAGACCCCTGTGCAATCTTCTCTAATCCTGCCTCCCCCTCCTCTGTCTACCTAGTGCCCCTGTGCAGTGAAAAACCGTACCAGTTGTGCTGTGTCTGAGGATCTTTGTGAATATGGACATGGAGATGAGATTGCTCCCATATATGTGCAAAGTACCGAGACCTAGCTAATAAACTCACTTATATGATATTATTTTTTACAAAGCTACATCAGCAGTGAAATGTGAACTAGAATACAGCATGTACTGCCTGGCAGGGCAGTCTCCATAGAGCTAGGAATTGGCCTCCAACCCCGGTCCAAACTAGCTTGGGTTTGCTAAATTTCAGGGCAAGCTGTAAGGCCGAATTATTTCAATTGGCCTTTGAAGTAAAATTAAGCTGTAGGCCGATGTCTGGGAGTGCTAGTGTTTTAGTATGTTCCCCAGCTAGGTGGAAGGGGTGAGCTGATTATGTTGCAGTTTGATTTTTGTAATTTTAAATAATTGACCGTGTACTGAGCAGTGGTTCTCCAATTTACTTGATCGTGCCTCCCTCCTTCTTTGTGTCTGTAGTAGTTTATTGCCCCCCCCCCAAGTACATATACCGATTAAAACAAAAATCAACATGCAACTCTCACTAAATATTAAAAACAGTAAGGCGTCGATTCGAACAGAGCCAATGGTCCATTGTAATCTGAGTAAAAGCAAAACTGAGATTATGGTCAATGCTCACAATTAAATGTGCACACCATATTGAGGCAAATGAATTGACATACGGATGGCAATGACTTTGTATAATACTATGCAAGCTTAACAGAAATCCGTCAAAATGCACAGCGCCATCTAGGGTCAAAGGCACAGCACCATCTGAGGACCTGATGTGTCTGGAGGAATCATCTTTGTTATTCATTGCTGTGGGCAAAATGTCACGACTCCCCCCAATGCATTCTATGCCCTCCCCAGAGGGCCTGTGCCCCAAGTTTGAGAACCTCTGACTTAGAGTCTGTGCATGGGGACATATAATTGTAAATCAAAATAAATAAATAAATAGGTTGGGCGGATTTATTCTTAGTCTCACTTAACTTCCTTTCTTCTTGTGCGGACTCTTTGCCTCTTTCCTTCCAGAATCTAGGACTCTTGGACTAGGAATATGTTTCTCTATGCAACATACATGCACTACATTCAATCAGCCCCCAGATGTAATATGTGCACACCTTCTCTTTCTCTCTCCCCTTCCCTGCATCAGATCAAATTAATCGCAGACAGTGATGTACAGATCGAGGATAGCAGTTTGTTCAGTTCAGGCAATGCATACTGGTATGTCCTTGCCTTAACGTTAGCTGTTTCATTTACAGCTTTACAAAAAAGAGTTGAGTTTAAATAGGGTTTAACCGATCAGCTTGGAAATTTAGCCTCACAGCAACAGAGCTTTATATCCAGAGTCTGGAAAGGTTAACCAGCCCTAGGTGATACAGAGGTGTTGTGGTAATGAGTTTTGGATTTCGGAGACAGCTTTCCATTGTGTCAAGGGGTGCTTTGCTTTTTGCTCAGTCACTCAAATTCTTTATGCCTCCTCATGACAACCTCTTACTGTGTTTGACATCACTGTAAATAAATGGCAAATGGCAGTGATAATGGATGGAAGCAACAGATTTTGCCAAGTGGCTGAAGCTTTATTATAACTTCAGCCAAAAAAACAAGGTCCCACCTAACGGGTGACACAAACTACCGGAGTGAAAGGGAGCATGCAACAACCTTCCCAACCTGTCACTGACCTGGCCCCTTGCAGTGTTGAAGCACAGAGCAGGCCTAACTATCCAAGGGCTAACAAGATTGAGTTAGTGCATAGCCTAGTCAAGATTTGCAGCCCTGATGCAGGATATTGCATAAAGAAACCCCAATGCTTACCCCAAGAGCTTGGGCACCCTGCATTTTGAGTCACTTTTAGTTATCTCATGTCACGGAATCTATCTGAATAAAACCATTTGCAGAGATCTTGATTTTGTGTATTGAAAGTTAAAAATATTTAATATGAATTAAATATATTCCTTCAATGTACTGGATATTAAATACAGATAAACAGGTAATTGCATTGTCTGAATTTCCAGAAAGATGTATCTTTTTTTATATGAATACAACTTCACTTTCAAGGGTATAACTATAAATCTGGGTTTAAGCAGTGATATCACAGTATGATATGAGAACATACCATACCATCGGAATTCCAGTATGTGATCATTTCTAGCCATCGCCACTCTGAAAACTTAATGAATTTTTAAACAGAGATTTTTTCCTATATTATCTGTGCTATAAAAATGTCACCAATCTAATTTTAAAAGCATAAACCTGCTTTATGGGGACTCACTGGAGAGGTTTGATTTGTTCCTCCCACAAGTAGGTTTGTTGTGATTTGTTGTTTCAGTTTGAAAGCAGTCTCATTTGTTTATCTTGGAGGTAAGACAATGTTTGTATTGGTTTTTTTTACAGATCAGTCTAAACCATAATTTCAATTCACAACTAACTATCTTAGGCCTTTTAATATCAGTGGTTTATCAGTGGTTTTTTCCTTTTAGCCACCAGCTAATACTAATTTAGGATAAGATTGAATTTTGAAGTCAAATTCACCCCTGGAATTGGCAAGTGCAATTCCCTTTAATTTGGTGCACCTCACAAACAGACCAAACCATGATAATTCTTTGACCTCTGCACTGAAAGTCTTGCAGCTTGTTGACTATGGTTTATGTTCACTACTTCAGAAGACCGACCTGTGCACCATTTCTTCCCACTTAATCCCTGGGTTTAGGTCCCACTGTGAATAATAACATGCAAAGGTCTCAGATCACTCCAAAAGCCTGTATCCTCCCTTCTTCTGCTTATCTCTTCATTATCATTAAATTGCTTTCCAAAGTTTTTGTGAGCCTCTACGGAGAGCCGGTTGTAATGGTGCTGTATGCAGGCCAATGAACGCTCTGAGAGGCAGAGCCCCCACTGAGCGCTCACTCAGTACGTGCTGTTTCTGGAGTGTAAATTGAGTTCTGTGACGGACAGGCAGATCAGCAGGCTGTGACGGAGGCACAACAGTGCAATGAAGACAACCCTTACCCCTTCCTGCACCTCCCCCCCAAAAAACTCTTCAACAACAACATTATTGATGCACCATTTTTTTCAGTGATTTTTGTGTATGACTATAAAATGTGTCATGAATGAAATATTAGTGGTGAAAAGGAATCAGATGGAATGCATGATTCCGAGAGCACCATTTTTTAGGGTTTAAGCATAATTGTAAGTGTTTGCATAATGTGGTTAAATAAAGTGAATATAAAGGCTTAATACACTGTACTCAAGTCGGAACTAAGTTTTAATAGCTTTATAAGGTAGAGGATTGAGACCAAGACTTTACAGTGAGGGTGAAAAGTAATTATCTGGTCAGGTTCTTCATAACCCCCCATCTTTGACATTCATGAGGCTCCCTTATGATAGCAAGCATTAAAGCTACATTCCTTTCTTCATCAATTTATAATGCTGTGAACAAGCTAAATTTTCAACTATGGTCTCTGGTTTTGCACCTGCAAAAATGCATGTGCAGATGTTTGCACCCACAGAGTTGCACCCACATACTCCTTTTGCACATACAAATGCAGGTATGTGTGCCATTCTGTGAGCACTAATACCTCTGCATGTACTTTTGCATATATAAAATCTGAGACTGGCTTATTCCTTTACATGTCTGGGGTGGTGGTGTAGCCATGTCAGTTCCCAGGATATTAGAGGGACAAGGTGAGTGAGGTAATAGCTTTTATTGAACCAACTTCTGTTGGTGAGAGAGACAAGCTTTTGAGCCAGACAGAGTTCTTCAGGTCCAGGACGTATTCTAAGGGACCATTCAAGGTAGAGTGGCCTGTTAGCACCTGTGCAGTCAGAGGACATAAAGAGGGGTGGTTAGTGGGTGATAGATAGTTGTAATCAGCCATAAATCCAGTGTCTTTGTTCAGTCCGTGTTTTTAGAGTCTTGGAAAGTTACGAATTTAAGCTCCCAGGCTCGTCTTTTGAAAGTGTTGTGCAGGTTTCTTTTGAGGATGAGGACTGACCTGTCAGATATGCAGTGATCACTTTGTGACAAGTGTTCACCCACATGTGATTGGGTGTTTTTGTCTTTTATCATTTTCCTGTGTGAGTTCATTTGAGAGCTTAGTAATTGTTCGTCTGGTTTCACCCACATAACTTTTGTTGGGCATTTAGTGCACTGGATGAGGTACACCACATAGACTCATAGACTTTAAGGTCAGAAGGGACCAATATGGTCATCTAGTCTGACCCCCCGCATGATGCAGGCCACAAAAGCTGACCCCCCCACTTTCCCTTAACTCTGCTGTTGAAGTCTCCAGATCGTGATCTAAAGACTTCAAGTCGCAGAGGATTTTCC